TGTGCATGAATGATCACGTCGGATTGGAATGGCTAAGCTACGTCCTGCTTGATGCTGTTCCTGGGATGCCCCTCCCTGGGGCTTCGGAGCCAGAGTCGGGAGCGCCTGGAGGTCCAGGAGCCCCTGGCCAGGCTGGTGCGCCTCCTGAGGCCCAGGGGAACCCTGCTCGCGAGCGGCCTCAGGAGATCCCGTCCCCTCCGACCCCTGGAGCTTGGCGCCAGCTGGGGCACACTCTTGAGCAGGGTGATGTTTATGAGTCGGACGGGCACACGCTTCATGACACGATGCTCTGTTGCACGGCTTGCGGAGCCATGGCACACTCCAGCACGAAACGTGGGAACCTGCGTTCGAGGTGTCGGCCCCAGGCCTCTGGGGGCCGCACCTTTTACTTGGAAAAGTTACGTGCTGGAAGATATCCAGCCCATCGGAATACACAGAAGCTCAGGATGGCGTATGCAGGGCACCCCTCCCCAGAGGTCAGGAATGAGTGGGCCCCTTTTTTCACCGCCTGGTCCCAGGGCCTTCAGGGACCCCCGAAAGCTCGGGAGGCCGCCAGATCCAGCGGCCATGTGCGCGAGGCTCCAGACGCGGACCTGCTGAGGGGCCTCGCGCTGATCGGCCTCGCCCGCGAGGACCTGGAGGCCCTGGGGCGGGAGGTAGAGGCCAGGCGGGCGCGCGGGGAGGAACCTGAGGACGAGGATCTCCCCTGCGGCCCCGCCTAACTCGCCTGTCTTTTCTATGCATGATGAATGTGGTCGTACCGTTCACGGTTGTGGGCGTCCTCATCCTCCTCCTCCTCCTCCTCCTCCTCCTCCTCCTCCGCCTCCGCCTCCTCCTCCTCCTCCTCCTCCTCCTCCTCCTCCTCCTCCTCCGTTTCCTCCTCCTCCTCCTCCTCGGTATCCTCCTCCTTCTCCTCCTCTTCGTATAAGAGTTATTATTCGTCGTCCTAATCTTCTTGTTGTTAGTAGTATTATTGTTATAACCCGTATTAGTGTCATGATTCGCATTCGTATTCTTAGTTTCAGCATTGTTCTTCTTAATAATAGTATTGTCCGTATTATTCGTATTCGCATTATTAGTCGTAGGAATCGTATATGATTAGTACGATTATGATTCTTCGTGTTGTCAGTAGCAGTGTTGTTGGTGTTGTTAGTGGTATTATTTTTATTAGTACTAGTACTCTTATAGTATGATCCGTATTCTTATTATTATTATTATTATTATTATTATTATTATTATGAGTATTAGTATTATTAGTATTATTATTATTAGCATTATTATTAGTTATTATTATCGGTATTATTATTGTGTTATTATTATTAGTATTATTATTAACTGTAGTATTAGTACTATTATTAGTATTAGTATTATTAGTACTACTATTAGCGCCATGCATAATATCATTTCTAGTATAATTATTATTATTACTAATAGTATGATCATTGCTATTATTAGTAGCACCATCAATACTAGTATTACTACCATTATGATTAGTAATACCTATATTATTATAATTATTAATATTATTAGTACTACTACTACTATGATTGTGAATATTAATATTAGTAGTATTAATAGTATCATTAATTCTCATCGTATTATTATTAGTATGAGTAGTAGTAGTAGTAGTAGTAGTATAAGTAGTGTTTGTCTTAGTATGTTTAGTAGTGGTACTCTGCATATTCTTATTAAATCATTCATCAGCTTAGTCTTATTATTATTCTTACTAATATAACTATTATTATTAGTGTTCGTAGTATTCGTCTTACTCTTCTTTTTATCATTATTCGTAGTAGTATTCGTGTTAGTAATCTTATTATTCTTACTACTAATATTATTAGTATTTCCCCATCCTCTTCCTCCTTCTCGTGATCCTCCTCCTCCTCCTCGTCCTCCTCCTCCTCCTCCTCTTCCTCGTCGTCCTCCTCCTCCTCCACCTCCACCTCTTCCTCCTCCTTTTCCTCCTCCTCCT